CCAATGCCATATACCATGCCATCAAGTTCAATAGGAAGGCATTCATCTGCAACTGCTTATGATCTCAACCCACGTGGCTTCACCAATAATCCATATGGCAACATCTCTTCTACTTCAAGGGGCAGACATTCATCTGCCAATGTTTTCGACTTACATATGGAAATGCCAACGAGACGACAGTCTATTCACATCCCACATGATACAATGGCCTCAAGTTCAAGGGGAGGACACGCAAGCGGGAACTTATTTGACCTCAACATTGGATTATCGGAGGAACCCTCATCTCCACCAGAAGAACCTCTTCGGGAGCCAGGTGCAGATGGTGCTGAAACGAGATTATTCGTTGAACCTGACTCACCACAGTTTAACGTACATTCTGATGATGATGAGGATGACGTTCCGATAAATACAACACCAGCCGAACTTCCTGCACATATGTATGAGGCTGATTATGATGCAATGTATGAGCCTGAATTTCCAGAACTTCCTGATGTTGGCAACTATGGACTTCAATCACCAGTCAATGACGGTAATTTACATATTGGAATGAAGTTCGCATCGAAGGAGGAAGCAATGATGGCAATAAAGAGTTACAATATTCGTAACTTAGTTCAGTCCCGAGTTGATCGATCTAACACGGAGAAATATGTCTGCTACTGCGTCCAACGTGATAACGGATGTCAATGGATGGTCCGTGTATCAAAGAGGAAGAAGAAGAACAACTTATGGGAACTAACCAGATACAACGGTCCTCATACATGTTGTGCAACAGGTATAAACCAGGATCATCCCAACTTGGACTCCAACATTATTTGTCAAGCAATCATGCCCATTGTGAAGCAAAGCTCTCATATAGCTGTTGCAGTGTTGATTTCTGCTATACAGTCACAATATGGGTATACTGTCTCATATAAAAAAGCGTGGTTGGCAAAACAGAATGCCATTTGCAAACTTCATGGCGAATGGGATTCCTCTTACAACGAGCTGCCCAGTTGGTTTCATGTTGTGCAAAGACTTAATACCGGGACAATTGTTGAGTTTGAAACTCAACATTATTACGTGAATGATCGAATGGTTCGCGATCGCTGCCAATTTTACCGAGTCTTTTGGACTTACCCTCAGTGTATTCATGCAGTCAAGTACTGTAAACCAATTGTCCAAATTGATGGTACTTTCTTGTATGGGAAATACAAGCAAGTTTTATTATTGGCTGTGGTCCAAGATGGAAACTGCAATATTCTTCCTGTTGCGTTTGCCGTCGTTCAAGGAGAAGACACTGAGTCTTGGGCTTTTTTCCTTAAAAATTTACGTTTACATGTTGTCACCAGGGAACGAGTATGCATTATTTCAGACCGAGGAGCCGGGATAAAAGCAGCAATGGACTCTTTGGGTACAATGTATAGACCTCCACATGTTCAACATCGTTATTGTGTCCGTCATATTGGTGCAAACTATTACGGAAAATACAAGAATAACGATGAACGTCAGTTAGTCGTGCGGATGGGTATGTTACTTTTTCCCAATTTTTCTATCAACTTCTTATTACTTATTTATACTTCATATTAACTATTACATATTCCTAATGGCTTAGGTTACGAACTCTTACCTCAAAGGTTTGAGTCGATGCTACAAGAGCTGTTTGGCAAAAATAAGAAGGGGTGCGAGTACATTATGGACATCAGCAAAGAAATGTGGACAAATGCATATGACGGGGGGTATCGCTATGGTCATATGACAACAAACTTGGCTGAAGCAATAAATTCAACCTTAAAGGGGGAGCGTCATTTACCAGTCACAGCGTTGGTTAAAACGACTTATTTTCGTTTGGGTCAACTCTTTGCAAAGCTCGGTGGACAAGCTCTTACTTGGATGCAAAACGGACATATTTACCACCCAAGACTAGTAGTTGATTTACAGAAAAAAGTGGCTGCATCAAATGGGATGTTAGTTACAAATTTTTCTCGCACCCGTGAATTGTTTCGTGTAACCGAAATGCCACGTCCCCTGCAAGGGATTGAAGCTAACTCTTTCAGAGTTAATCTGCAAGAGAGGTGGTGCGATTGTGGTTTCTTTCGAGCACTCAAATATCCATGCTCTCATGTCATTGCTGCTTGCTCACATTCGCATTTGTACTACAAAAATTATGTTGATCCCGTATACCAACTTTCACAAGTATTCAAGGTATATGAATTTGAGTTTCCGCCCATAGGAAACGAAAGAGACCCAAATGAGATTCAAACTTGGTTTACAATTGTACCAGATCCATTGCTATTGAGGGACTCAGGTCGTCCAAAATCTACTAGAATACATTGTGATATGGATATTCGGGAGAAGTCAACAGAACAAAAACGATGTGGGCATTGTAGAAACATCGGGCACAATAGAAAAAAATGTCCAGCTCTGTTATCATCATATAACCGTTAACTCTTATGTAATTAATATTGTATTTAAATGAATGTTTTTGTTTCTAATAATTTAATGTTATTGCATTTATATAATTTGTCAATGTATGTACACCTAAATAATTTTTTTTAACTTTTAAATACATAAATATATTTAATATTTATTTAATATAATAATTAATATTATTAGTTATAATTTTTTTTAAATATAATAATAATTCCACCTTCTAAGTAGAGAAAATATTAAATTAAACAAATTAAAAGTTATTAAAAAATTTATGTATACGATGACACATTTCATGTTCTGATTGGAGGATTAAATTTATTAAATTAAATTTTCAATAAGACAAATTTTATAAAATATGTAAGTTTTGAAGATTAAATATGTAATTATACTAATTTATTAACTTATGCATCAATATTTTCATTAAATATTGATATGAGATGACTAAATTGATAACATTTAAATAATTAACTGATAAAATTAATAGATCGATAATCAAAATCAAAAATAATAATATAACCATATGTGTAATATTATAATTTCATATATTTTTCCTATAACTACAATAAAGTCAAAACTGATTTTCATATATTGTTATATCATATTAATGTAGATAATTCACTCCACCTTTAACATACATTAACAAAATACATTTGATAATTCTTACATTATAATTGAAACATTTTACATAATATATTATTAATTTATAATAATAATAAAAATAAACTATTTATTATTAAACAAAATACGTGTCTGTTGAGTTGGTAAAGGCGCGTCTCCGGGGATACGCCTTCCACACGTGGCATCCAACTCAGCGAAAATACGGGTAAAACGCGTTCTTGGAGGCGCGCCTTTATCAACTCAACAGAAAGAATGTTACTTCGAGAAATATTGATCAAATAATATCAAAAAAATATTAAAGAAAATTAGTGTCAGGTCAAATCCCCGAAGGATGGGCAGGGGACATCATAGGCCATGGTCTCCGAACCTCTGACACCTATAGCTTGAAACAGAAGGACCCCCAGCATGTGGGTATCTGAGCCACTTCCCTTCTTCTATATGGTTTTTCTGATGTCCTTTTCAGTTGCATTTAATGTGTTTCACTATCTACGTTGATACCGTAATAAATGTTCCCACGTTTGCCATTTCACATCACCCTCCTTTCATTTTTACCGGTCACATTGTATGCTACTGCTGTCCTAGCTTCCTACTAAAACCATGTATTTGGTAACTATCGATTTCAAACCCCAAAACTGAATAAAAAAATTTAAACCTGGATTTAATAATGGTGTGGTTGTTCGTTAAAGTAAAGATCATATCATCATCATTATCTTCTTCGCTATTTCAACATGTCCAGGTTCTGGTTTTTTTCTTTCTTTGTTCGCCTCGATACAGTTTGATTTTTATTCTGCAATTTAAATTAAGAGTTTATATATTCCATCCATTCCATAACTTATATCTTATATTAATTCTGCATATACTTTTAGGAAATATATTTATAAAAAATAATAAAATTATCATTAAAAATTAATTGATAAATTTGATAAATTTATTTTGATAGATGTAACTCATTGAAACATAAAAAAAATAAGTGTTATTATTTGTTATTTTTAATAGAAATTTTGAATAAAATAATTTTAAAAATTAAAAGAGACATTTAATGAGAGTAATAAAATATTATCTTTTAAATTTAAATATGGATTTTTTATTAGGAGTGTTGCGGGATATTGTTGCACTTGATATTTATTGATAAAATTAAATTTTAAATCATTTTAAAAATAAATATTTAATATTTATTTAATATTTATTTTATAATTTAAAATTAAAATTTAAAAATAAAAATCATTAAATTAAATAAAAATAAACTGTCTAACCGCTTGAATTTTTCTATCAACTCTAGATTTTATTCTATGGTACTACATCTCTTCCTCTTTGGGAGGTTTTTTAAATCGTGAAAAAAAATCATCATCATTTATCACTCAATGATTCAACTTGATCAACGGCTAAGATTAGTCGGAAATGGGCTGATGGAAGTATGATGAGATGCAGAACATGCAAATAATAAGGTGAAAGTACAATATAACATAATATAATATCCGTCACACTTGGCGTATATATGAATAACAGATACATGAATAACAGATAAACCCCTAAGCCAAAATGGGTTTTTTATTCTTCCAACTGTGAAAAATTAATACTCTCTGGTGGGGCGAGAGAAGAGCACGTGCTTTGAGAAAGCACCGTGATTCCAGTTCACGCTTCAAGGTCGGCGCGTGACAAGAGAGATATACAATTACAATGCGCATGGAGTTGGATGATCGGGTTTTTATTTAACAGGTCGGTGGAGATAACGTGGTGTAGACAGAAAGGAGAAGAGGTGATCGTTGACGGGTAACGTGAAGAATCAACCCAACACGTGCCGGTTAAACAGATTAAAATTCCATTTAATTACCATTTAGATTGTATATATATATTCAGTGGAAGTAAAGCTTACCTCTGGTTTCGCAAACAAAGAAAAGAGAGAGAGAGAGAGAGAGAGAGAGAGAGAGAGAGAGAGAGAGCCTTCTTTGAAGCACAGATCCATTTGGAGTTTCAGTGCAAAAAAAAAAAAAAAGGGAATAGAAAAAGGTAAAAGAAAAGGAGATAAATCCCATTACTTTGTCGAATTTGATCTCGTGCTGTTCGTATCTTTAAGCTTTGAATCCTTCCCTTTTGTCCTCTGTCGCAACCTCTGATCGATCAGAACAAAGCCCTTTTTTCATCTTCTTTTTCTGAATCTAATGGAGAAAGATAAACAAAGGTGGAGTTAGATAAAAGAGAAGCGAGAAACCAGAAAGCAAAGGAAAACAAAAAGCAGATTGTCTTTCTTCTGAGCTTCATTTCTTCTTCTTTTTCTCCTTTCGGAGTGCACTGGAAAATGGGCACTGGTTGGAGAAGAGCCTTTTGCACTACAATCCCTAGAGAACCAGAAAACACTGTTTTAGACAAGCAGCAGCAACAGAGTCCTTGTCCCAGCCCTAGTCCTAGGAATTGTGCTAAGCTAAGCTTTTTTTCTACCGGAAGTAACCCTTCGACTCCTCGTTTTCAATCTCAACCAGTTTCTAGCCCCCGTCTCCGTTGCCGGACTACTTTTGAACCGTCTTCCACAAGCGAAAGCCCCACCCTCCACTGCAAATCCACCCCTAGAGCAGCCACAAAAAGTCCTAAACCAATTCTCTCATCAAATCCTTCCTCTCCTCTTTCCCCTCTCAAGCTCTCACTTTTCCGCAACAGCTTCAAGTTCAGAGTAAGTAATATCAAAATCCCGAAATTTTACTGTCAAAATGTAGCTAAATATTGAATGTTTGCTGGCGTATAATAAACTAAAGCTTTGATTTTTTTTATTTGAATTTTGCAGAGTAGTTGTGGAATCTGTTTGAACAGCGTGAAGACAGGTCAAGGAACAGCCATTTACACAGCTGAATGTGCTCATGCCTTTCATTTCCCATGCATAGCTGCTCATGTTCGTAAACATGATTCCCTCATTTGCCCTGTTTGTAATACAACCTGGAAAGATGTTCCTCTTCTCTCCATTCACAGAAACTCAACTCCTCAAAATGACACCGTTCTGATTGAAAACACCACTCCCAGAATTGAAGATAAAAAGATCATGGAATCTTGTTCACCGAGAATTGTTCATCAGCCGGAACCAAAACCGAAACCCAAAGTCAGAACATCTGATTTAAGATCCTACGATGACGATGAGCCATTGCTTTCCCCAACGACCGGTGCTCGTTTTATTCCCATTCCAGAAGCTGATGAAAACATCGAACAAGAGGAATATGACGACGTCGAGGAGTTCCAGGGGTTCTTCGTTAATCCGAACTCTTCACCCACCGTCAAATCTGATGACGTACTTCCATTCAACGGTCGTGATTTGAGGAATGTCCAGGCAAGATTGTCTCCCGAAGCGGCGGTCATTTCGGTGGGCCATGGATACGAAACTTGCGCCGTGGCTTTAAAAATCAAGGCCCCACCTCCCCCTGCAAAAATGTTAGCTTCTTCGAGGAATTGTAGCAGTTCGACGTCGCTTTTGGAGCCTTCCCATCGTGCGCCCATCGATTTGGTTACGGTTCTTGATGCGAGTGGAGGCATGATTGGTGCTAAACTCCAGATGTTGAAACTCGCCATGCGTTTAGTCATTTCCTCGCTCGGCTCGGGTGATAGGCTTTCAATCGTGGCTTTCTCGGCTACTCCAAAACGGTTATTGCCTCTGCGGAGAATGACGGCTCAGGGTCAAAAGGCTGCTCGGCGTATTATTGACCGCCTCGCTTGCGGTCAAGGGACTAGCCTTGGCGATGCGTTGAGAAAAGCAACCAAAGTGCTCGAGGATCGGAGGGAGAGGAATCCAGTTGCTAGCATTATGTTGTTATCCGACGGTCAAGATGAAAGAGTAAAATCCAATGCTTCCAGTCAACGCCATCATTCAAGCCACGCACCGTCCACCCGTTTCGCTCATATTGAAATCCCGGTTCACGCGTTCGGGTTCGGGCAAAGCGGCGGGTATAATAGTCACGAGCCAGCTGAGGACGCGTTTGCTAAATGCGTTGGTGGGTTACTGAGCGTTGTGGTCCAAGATTTGAGAATCCAGCTCAGCTGCGCATCTGGCTCAGCACCAGCTGAAATAACAGCCGTTTATTCATGTAGTGGAAAACCTACTGTTATAACTTCCAGCTCCTTGTTCCTCGGCGATTTATACGCCGAGGAAGAAAGGGAATTACTCGTGGAACTGAAAGTTCCGACTTCTGCGGTTGGATCCAATCACGTGATGTGCGTTCGTTGTCTTTACAAGGATCCAGCCACACAAGAAGTCGTATACGGCAGAGATCAAGCGCTTCTAGTACCTGGGCCCAATGACGTTCGATTATTGGCTCCTAAAATCGAACTGTTGAGATTCTTCTTCATCACGACTCGAGCCGTTGCCGAAGCGAGAAGGCTGATCGAGTGCAGCAACGACTTGAGGAGCGCTTACCATTTGTTGGGCTCGGCCCGAGCCTTGTTAATACAGTCGAATTCATTGTCGGCCGATGAATATGTCAGGAGTTTGGATGCTGAGTTGGCAGAATTACACTGGAGGAAACAGAAGATGATGGAAATCCAACGGCGAAGGGTGAATGAAAGGGAAAGGGAGAGAGAAAGGGAGACGGTGGCTGTGGTGATGGATGAAAACGGCGAGCCAGTTACGCTGTCATCGGCTTGGAGAGCGGCTGAGAAGTTGGCTAAAGTTGCAGTGATGAAGAAGTCGTTGACTAGAGTAGGCGATTTACACGGCTTCGAAAATGCTAGATTTTAGTTTTTTCCCCCTTATAAAAATTATTAAGAAAGAGAGAAGATTCTAGTTATATTATGAAAAGGGGGTGGGGGAAGGTGGTGGTAGCCGACGGCGCGGGTAGTTCATCCATGAACTATAATCTAAAATTCAAGCATTTGATTGATGGAGAAGGTTGTATTTGAAGTGTAGGGATCCTTTTTGATTCATCATCAGTCATTATCAACTCACAAAGTTGTAAATGTTAGTGTAATTGGGTTTCTACGTGACATGGGATTTTAATCCTATGTTATTCTTCTGATCCACTTTTTATAGTTCAAGATAAAAGAAAACGAGTGGGAAATGATTGGGGAGCTTGGACTTTGAAATGATAAGGATGAATGAAGGAATCATTTTCTTGTTATTATATTCTCTTCTGCTTTTCAATTCCTGAATTATTACCACAACCGACTCAACCTTTTTTTATTCTGACTTCCGACATATATATGATGGGCTTAACCTATGCCCATTATTTTTTCTGACATTCGAAGATTTCAGATGTCATGTGATAACTATATACTCCTATTTAAATTACACATCTTGGAAAATGAATGATCTGTCAAAGAAACAGACACATTATGTTAATCCTCCAAACTATTTTCTATAAAAAAAAAAATTGATGGTTTTTGAAGTTTTCCTCTATCAACACTCTCACAATCACAAACGAACGATGGATTTAATCTGATGAAGACATAGTTCCATTTCCTCGAGACTTTCCTTTGCTTAGCCTTAGCTTAACACCAAATCATGCGGACAGCTCCCGAGGAAGGGAAGGTCAGCGTTTGCCTTCGCTTTAGGAACATGGGTGTTACTTGTTATTGTTATAAAGTAGTACATTGGTTTCTTTTCCATTCATGTGTTTCAATGGGAAAGTTGAATTCTAGAACTACAGAAAAATGGTTTTCTTTTTCCCTTTTTGTTTTCCTCGGAGGAAAAAAATCGTTGAAGGGCAACTAATGTTTAGGGTTCTTAGCTTTGAAGGGAGAGCCCTTTAGGTTAGTGTTTTTCAAAGGGAACTAGCTCTTTCAAACCCTTTTAAAAATGGGGAAAGAGTAGGGACCCAAAAAGAGTTTCGTGTTTTTTGGATTTTGGCCCCCTTATCAAATCTCCAAAAAACATAAAGATTCCTGCAGGAAAATCCCAAAACTCCTAAACCTCAATTTAACGGGGCAATGTGTACATTATACAGGGAAATGCATTTCGTTTCGACCTGATAAATGGTGTTCATGCAATTTCAACCAAAATAGTAAACCGTCACAATTTGGCCTTAGCTTGCAAGTTTTTTTTAGCATAGCAAATAGTGTTATTAGCCAACTAATGACAATACTATTCTTATCTTGTTCGAAAAACGAATAAAAAACTTCATTGACCCAAAAATATTGCAGGTTTTATAATGACAGTCAAGGGCAACCGGTGGTTGCAAAAGTCCTGCACGTCTTCTCACTTTCTCACTCGGTTGTCCTTGGATTCCAATCCATAGCTGGTTTGTGTTGGGTGATTATATCATTTGATGCCAAATGACAAAAATAAATGGTCCTATCGTGAAGCCTCTGTCACCATTATTGGTGAAAAACAATAGCTGCGGAGTGTTTAGACGTAATCTCATATTTGACGACCCATGTGGTTTTCATTGACCTTAATGTTTTTAGGTTTTTTGTACAGTCAGGGATTCCTTTTGGAATCCTACTGTTGTCAACGTAACTCCAAAGGGCTATAACAATATATGAGCCATTAGACATCTGGGGGTCACTAAATTATCTGCCATGGAGGTACATGTTTGCATGTGATCCTCCACGTTATGTTTATTTGTCCTCTGGTGCAAGCCATGGACAACTTGCAGCTCAGCTTGGTTCCTGATTCAACCTTCTGGAACGGATTATAAATAGAGAAAATAACCTCAGTGACCAAAAATCCCATATAATATACGATTTTAACCAACTTTTTCCGGATTTGTCAAAATGACCAACAAAATCGCAATGCGATCGTTAATTCGCAATGCGATCTCCATTATCGTAAATCAGTTTCCAGATTCGCAACGCGATTATGACTATCGCAATGCGATTTTTCAATTTCGCATTGCGATTTTCCCAATTCGCAATGCGAATAAGTAAATCGCAATGCGATACTGACTATCGCAACGCGATAATACAAAATTGCAACGCGATACTGACTTTCGCAACGCGATACTGACTTTCGCAACGCGATTCTGACTTTCGCAACGAGATTCTGACTATCGCAACGAGATAATACAGAATCGCAATGCGATTTTCAAAGTTCGCAACATGTTTTAGTTTCGCAATACAAATTTTTTGGGTATATATCTACGCAGAAGCAACAACTCATAACCTAAATCCCTAAATCGCAACTCATTCCATCTCCATCTATCACTCTCTCCGGCGACATCCGTTCCTACATCCTTCCCCATCCGGCAACAGGTCTTAGTTTCGCAGCTCGTTTGTTTAGTAAATTAATTTACAACCATGAAATCATCTAATGTTGATCATGTTTGGATGATATATTTGTGTTTTGGAGGGTCATGGGAGAATGTTCATGGTGTTTTACAATATATGCCTTTACCCATGAATCTTCAACTAAAATTGTCATTAAAAAAGTTAACTTATGAAACTCTAATGTTACGTGTTTTAAAGAAATTGAATTTAGAGCCCCTAAGTGGATTTAGGCTATCTTATCAGAGAAATGGTAAAGTTTATTTGTTAACCGACAATGAAGATGTTGAACGATTCATTGCTTACATTAGTGTTTCAAGTGATGATGTTACATTGTATGTTGTTGAACCTAGAAGTAGTATTGTTGGGTCAGTAGCTGGTAGTAATCAACTAAGTTTTTCTCAAAACCCACACAACCTTTCTCTAATCCAAATCCCAATCAACTTTCAGCATCAAATTCCGGTTTTCGTATTGAACAATTAGACGATGATGAGCCAACAGAAAAAATTGTGAGTACTAGTCAGTATTCGAAATTTGATCTTGGTCAATACCCGGACTTTGATATTGGTCAATACTCGGATTTTGATGATGTTTCAGAAGAAGAAACAGACCCTGCGTGTAATGATTTTGATATTGGTCAATACCCGAATTTTGATGATGAAACAGCCGTTGCCGAGAAAGATGTTGTTGATGATAATGAGGAGGAAGTTACGACTGTGAATGAACATATTGAACATCCATTCTGTAATTCATATAATCCTGAAGAAGAAAAAGAAGAAGAAAAAGAAGAAGAAAAAGTCCTCGAAGAAAAGAAAATGCCACGGGAGTATAACTGGAATATGCCAGAATTACTTCAGATACCAGAAGAAGAGTTGGTAAAGAAAGCAGTTGATTGTTACACAAAAGTTATTCGTATCAATAAAGATGATTGTTTTGATACAAAGGAAGACTTGAAGATAGCTTTGTATACGAAATGTGTGGAAGATGGCTATCAACTAAAAGTTAACAAATCAAGCAAAGATCGTTTCGAAACAAGGTGTATGATTGACAAAAACTGTACGTGGCATATGATTGCAAAGAGGATAAAAGATTGCGAAATGTTTCAAGTTAGAACTTTTATTGATAAACATACATGTTCAAGAACCTAAGTTTTTCCTCACCATAGACAGGCAAACAAAAAGGTGTTGGGTGGTTTTATGGCTGAGTTAATGTTTTTGAATGGCAGGGTATATCGGGGACATGAAATTATGACTGACATGAATGCTCGGTTCAAGATTAGTATATCATATTCTCAAGCTTGGAGAGCCAAATGTTATGCCTTGGAATTGTTGAGGGGGTCGCCAGAAGCATCGTTTGTCCAACTGCCGGCTTATTGTCACAATTTAAAGATGAAAAATCCTGGGTCGGTAACTCATATCAAAACAGATAGAGATAGATGCTTTGAGTTGCTGTTTATCGCCATTGGTGCTGCGGTTAGTAAATCAATATAATTATGTTGACTCATTTTTGTTAGTTATATGCATTTCACATTAAAATGATTATATTTCTTGTGTATATTATTTTGTAGATTCGTTCGTTTATTACTTGCATGCGCCCAGTTATTATAGTTGACGGAGCACATTTGAAAGGTCGATACCTTGGAGTAAACTTATTAGCAGTAGCCATGGATGCTAACAATGGGATATTGCCAATAGCTTACGGGGTTGGCAAATCTGAAACCTCTGATTCATGGACATGGTTTATGGGGCATCTTAAGGATTGCATAGGTCCTATTAGCAATCTGACAATCATATCCGATAGGGCAAACTCAATTGACAACGCTGTTAGAAGGTGTTTCCCAGATGCTTTTCATGGACTTTGTGGTGTTCATTTGTATAGAAATCTAAAATCAAGGTCTGCTGGTATAAAAAATCACAAATGGACATACTGGAAGGCTGTAAAAGCTTATCGCGAAGTGGATTTTAATAAGCATATAAACTGTTTAAGACGTGTTTTGCCTCAGTGTGCTCAAACACTAGAAGATGTCGGGTTTGAAAGATAGTCAAGAGTACATCAACTTGGAGCAAGATATGGTTTCATGACGTCTAATAGCGCAAAATCAATCAACGCTCTAAGTCGTCATTCCCGGAAATTACCCATTACTATGTTAATGGAGTTTTTTCGAACCTCTATTCAACAGTGGAACTACAAGAAAAGAAACCATGCATGTATTATTTCTTTAAATTCGTAACTTATCATATATTTTACTAAGTATTATTTATTTAAATTTACAGGAACATTGGAACATCGTGTTACACCATGGACAGAAAAAAGATAACGAAACGTGTTGTGAAGTCAACGTCATGGAGAGTTGAACCATGTTCAAACACTTTGTTTGAAGTACTGGATAATAACTTAAATGGGCTTGTCGATCTAAATGCAAAGACGTGTAGTTGTATGAAATGGAAAACATCTGGTTATCCGTGTGGCCATGTTATAAAAGTTTCTCTTCATCTAAACCAAGATGATTCAAGTGCATACGCTATGGATTGCTACACTACAGAGGTATATCGATAGACTTATGGCGAGATTATCTACCCTATTCCACATCCTTCTGAGTGGGACATACCAGATGACTTACAAACAGTGTTGCCACCAGCCATGGACAGAAGGCTACCTGGCCGACCAAAAAGTCACGATCGTATACCGTCTAAGGGTGAAGAGAAGAAGAGATCGACATGTAGTCGGTGCAAGGAAAGTGGTCATACAAGGTTGACATGTGGATCACCAGTGCCATCACAATCATCTTTTCCTCTACCA